CCCAGCCTCAGGCATCCAAATGACAAGCAACAAGCGCATGGTGTGCGTCTCGTGCATGGAGGGTAAGCAAACGCGCAACAAACAGCCACAGTAGGACAGCGGCACCAACGCGCCGATCGACAGAGTTGGAAGTGTCACATGCTCGGATCTGAAAGGTCCGATGACGCCAAAAACAGGCAACCGTTACTCGGTTAACCTCGTTGGCAATAAGTTGAATTACTGTCGCATTTTCCTCGCGCAAGAAAGATGCAGCTGCCAAGCAATTTACGCGTTACTCATCTTCTTTGAGAAGCGCTTCGAATACCGCATTCATGTGCTGTGGGCGGCGAGTACGCTTACGTCAATCTATTTTGCAAGAAGACTAGCGTCGGAAGGCAAGTGTCCCGAGGCGCGCAGTAAGGCGTTCAATGGCAAGGCTGATCGCATGCATAGGACGGTGCTGAACCTAGCATGAAGCAGGATGCTTGCATACGGGTTGCCACTGCACTTTTGGAGCAAAGCAGTTCAATATGTGGCGTACATCTTGAATTGCAGCCCAACGCGCGCAAACACGAAGCGAGCATCACCAATTAAAGTCCTGATAGGGACGGTACCAAACTTACGCGAAATCGTCGTGTTCGATTCTCTCTGTAGCGTGTACCAAGATCCGCGAAACAAAACTGACTGCAACACGTGCACTGATCGCCACAATCATTGTCATCAGCGAGGAAGCGAAAGGCTACAAGGCCTACCTACAGAAGGAGAACAGGGTGATCGTGACGCAGCACGTCAAGAACATTGACACACTGTCGGATGCGCAGCTGCAGCATGCAATGAACAACGAAGACAGAGACGTTACAGCGCGAGAATCGGTACCAGCAGCGACGTCAGCATCGACAGCAGGAAGCAACAACAGCGGCATCACTAACACGGCGGGCCGCAAGAAGAACAAGAAGCAGTGGACACGGTCCGCACATGGCACGCGCGGTGCATCGAAGTTCGTGGGGGTGGCCGAGACTTACGAGGAGTGGTCTGCAAGCGACGTCGTTCACAAACGCTGCTTTCGAGCGAAACCCGACCGACTTTAACGAAGCCATACGCAGTGACAGCTCGATGGCTAAACAAAGGCAATGGAAAAAAGATCACGGCACTTCAAGACAACAACGTCTGGAATGTCGTTAAGTGCACGCTTGGGTCAAATGCACTGCACATTGAGTGGGTCTACAAGACCAATACTGACGCGCAAGGCAAGCTTGAGTGGGTAAAGGCGCGCCTCTTCGTTTGCGGGAACGAACAGGTGCTGGGCGTCGACTACAGCCTCACTTTCGCCGCTGTCATGGACCTGTCCATTGTAAAGGTCATCTTGGCGCTTGTTGCCACATGGGATGTGCCTGCTAAGCATAATAACATCCCCGTTGCATATGTCAAGGCAGACAAGGAGGCACACCTGGACATTTACCTGAAATTGTCAAGCGGCATGAGTGTATCTGAAGAGACGATGCGTAAGCACGGCGACGCGAACACGAACGATCCGGATCTCCGCAAGCGTCTATACGAACTCAAGAAGTCTGGCCAACTGTGAAGCCAGCTGCTGTACACGCGTCTTGCCGAGGCCGATTTCCAACGCTGCGGAAGCGATATGTGCTTCTACTGGAAGTGAAACAGCGACGACCTCGTCGTCGTTAGCGTGTACGTTGACGATCTTTCTTGCGACCTGTACGAACGCAGCAGCAGTCGATCGATTATTCACCAGCCTTGCGTCACTGTCCATCATAGACCTTACACACGTCAGCATGTTTCATGAGGACGCTCAACGATGTTTTCGGGATAAAAAGTACCTAAGTTTAGTGTCACGAAATTATTTACAATCTCATCTTTTTGTAATTGATTTATAATTTTCTTAGTTTACTTATAATTTTAAGTCAAAAATCTATTATTTGTTAAGTAAATTAATCACTAAATTAAATGAGCTATTTAATCACTAATTAAATAAGCTATTTATATATGTCCGTTCGTAGTGCTCCTTTTCCAGCATTCCGATTGGCTAATTTGGCATCATTGGTTAATTATGCATTGGCTGATTTTGCATTTTGCATAAATAATAACATGCGCAGAATTCCATAATAAAATATAGTTATCCAGTGTGTCCATCTCCCGTTCTTCTTTGTATATAAAACAACGTCGAAACGATGGGTACACATCAACCTTCATACCCTCATTACATATTGCTACATTTAACACAGCTTCTTTATTAAATATTAGATACGGCACATGCTTTAGATTTGTTTTAAAAACATGAGTTTAGTAAAATGGCAAAATCAAGCGTTGTTATTAGGTTGAACGGAATACATTTACAACATCAGCGAAGTGACCCATATGTATTGTATCATACATATTAATTTCATCGAGTCACCTGGATGTTTTAAAATAAAATATGGGTACGAATATCAAAAAGCAGATTTTACTTGCCATGTCCGACGGAACGACGGGTACACATTAACAAGTGAACCAAATCTATTGGATTATACATATCAATTTGCCGAAGTCAACCAAATATATTCTAAGGTAAAAAGATGAGTACGAAGATCAAAAGGCAGACTTCACTTACTGTGTTGTCAAACAGCTTTTTTATGCTCCTTTTAGCCTGTGTGCAGCTTTTAAATGCTCTCCATCGTTCCGACGGATACGTGCGCAAATTCTCTGCTGATAATATGGTGGCCTATCATTTTACCTTGTTAAATTTCCAGTATATTTACGTAAATTGATAAATTTGAAAGTCGCTGTGTAAGAAAGTCAATGTGTACCCTTCGTTCCGAAGGTCAATTACATTGGCCTATCATGTTGCCTTAGAATAGGGCGTGTGCCAGTCGTTCCGACGGATAGGTGCGCAAATTCTTCACTAATAGTATATAATTCATTAATTTACTTTGAAATATCCGGTTGAGTCAGGCAATTGCGAAATATGAAGTCAAGGTGTATGAAAGTCAAGGTGTACCTATCGACGCCGGTCAATGTGTACCTGTCGTTTCGCAGATCAGTCACAGATAAAAATATCACTCGGTCTTTTATGCATATTTAAACCTATATATTCGGTCCGCGCGCACCAAGGCGTCGGAAACGACCCTAGACAGGTACACATTGACCTTTCTAATCATTAACTTCCATAATAATCAATTGATTTGAGTCAACCGGATATTTTAAGGTAAAATGATGGGCTAATATGTAACATTCGCGTGCTTATCCGTCGTTACGACGGGAAGCACCAAAAAGCTGCACATAGGCTAAAAGTAGCCTCAAAAATCGGTTTGACATACGGTCCTTTATACATAATTAAATCGATATATTCGATCTGCGCGCACCAATGCGTCGGAACGACGGGCGGTCCCCTATTAGTATATAAAATATATCTCCATGGGGGCTACACTCTCGATCAAGAGGAGGCGATTGGCAATCTCCTGCGTACCAACGGACTTGCGGATGCGAACTCGACGCGCGCGCCGATTGGTTTCGACTGCTATGACGTGAAGCCCGACGACTCGTAGCTGGTTGGAGCGTCGAGCAAGCCGGTTGGCCCAACAATACGCGAGTTTTAGTCATTCGTGGGCAGCTTGTTATGGGTTGCGCGCTGCACACGGCCCGACATCGCCTTTGCGGCTCATAAGGCCACGCGCCAGACGCACGCGCTTCGTTTTTGCATAATTAGAAGCTTGTGAAGAGAAGTACTCGGAACCTGAAGAGCATGGCGAGCTTAATGATCACGATGGCTCCAGCGCAAGGCCGCAACCAAGCGCCACGACTGAAGCGTTTAGCGACGTTAAAATCGCGGCCGATAAGGCCGACAGGAAGTGACGTACTGCGTCTAAATGGTATGGCGTGAGCTGGGGCGCGCGTAAACAGAGCGTCGTGTTTTTGTCAACGATGGCGGCCGCGTATGTTGCTGCCTCGGAATTGGCGCGCGAAACTTTTGGCCTCCGCGAGATGCTGAGCGAGACTGGCACTATACCGGCTGTCCTGATGCAGCTTCACGCCGACAATGAAGCAGCGATCAGCCAGATTGCAGGTGAGGCGTCGTCACTAAAGGCAAACATGTTGATGTTCCCCTAAAATATCTATACGACTTTTCGCACTGTGGCGTGATTGCTGCGTGCTACCTTAGGTCGGAGCTGATGCTTGTCGATCTAATGACGTAGGCGCTCGACGCTACGAGACTTGCGGCGCTTCGTGGACTTATGCGCGGGTGATGGCGGCACGCAAGAACGGACATATACGAAGAGACAGAAGGGTCATTCAAGGACTTAAATGGAGAGAAGAATGGAGAACATGAAACGAAAGGCGCACTCGATGAGGAGTGCTGGAAGATTAGCATAAAAGATCGTGCTGGAAGGTGAACTCGAAAAATGGGGACGGTGTTAAAAAAATGAAGAGCACTCCCAAGAACTATTGCGATCGTGGGAGGAATTCCACTCGTTCGCCCCCCCCCCACTTATAACACAATTAAGTTCAACATCGACTCAAGTCCACCGAGAATATCGCAACCCGCCCAACCGACGAGTAAACAAGGTGAGGAAGGTTTTATACACGGAATCGGGGTACCCTCTCCGTCGGTCGGTCGTCCGAGCGCCAGTGGAGAGTTGGAGTCGCATTATCAATATTGCGAATCCCACTTCACCACAAACGTCATGGCCTTTTAGGTATTCGGCTTTATCATATCTGTATCCTGTAACGTCAGGATACGGTCATTCGCCTGTCCAACAGGCATTCAGCGGTGAAACACCAACACTCCCACTCACTGCTTATGCTGACTGCGCCTTGGTCCGATACCTCTTACTTGGAGCAAGTACTTGAATCGCTTAGTCCCTAGTGCTTCGGTCAACATGTATGCCAACTGGTTCATCGTTGACTTGTTTATGATCACAAAAATGTCATGAGTCACATTCTCCCGGGTGAAGTGATGACGGATATCGACGTGCTTGGTCCTGCCATTGTATTCTGAGTTGCTAGTAAGTCCAATCACACCTCAATTATCTTCGTAGACCAAAGTCGCTACCACTGATCCTCAGTACTTCCTGGGTACAAAAGCTTAAGGCCATGTACTCCGCCTCTGCCGAGCTCAATGTCACCGTGCGCTGGTCCTTGGACTTGAACACGTCTGGTGCACCACCAATCATCATCATTATACCTGACACCGAGCGTCGATCGTCAATGTTGCTTCCCCAGTCCGCGTCCATGTATGATGTTGCTTGAACCTCGCTTGCGCTGCCGTCGTAAATTATGCCGTAGTCTTTTGTTGTCTTGAGATACCAAAGAACACGAATGTCAGCCTTTCAATGTTGCTTACCTGGGTTTTACAAGTAACGTGACAACTGTGTGATTATATACGCCCCATCAGGTCGCGTACATGTTGTGATGTATAACAGACATTCAATCAACGGCCTGTACGGCTTCGACTGCATTTCTTCTCTTTTAGCGTCCGTCGCTAGCGATTGCATCTTTGACAGCTTCAATCAAGACTCGCATGGATTAACCACTGCCTTGACTTCATCTTTATTAAACCGGCAGACCTCGTCATCGATATAGCGATTCTGATGAATCATCAGCGTACTGCCGTTGCGATCATGTTTGATCTCCATACTAAGAATAAACATGACATTGCCCATCTCCTTCATCTTGAACGAATGTTTCAGAGCTGTCTTGACTTCTTGGATCTCTCTACGGTCTTGGCGGCGATGATCATGTTGTCGATGTAAAGATACACAGAGACGTAGTTGCCATTGTTGCCCTTGACATAGACACACTGATCTGCTCCACTGCTTCGAAAACCAATCCGTAGGATTACAGCATGGATCGTCTTGTTCCATGCACTTGCAGATTTTTTGAGTCCGTAGATTGCCTTGTCCAGCTTGCACATCATCTTCTCAGCATTTGTTATGCCATTAGGTACTTCCATGTACACCTCTTCTTTTAGCTCACTGTTCAGAAACGCTGTGTCTGCATCCAGCTGTTCGGCCACGCATCCCTTCGCCACCACCACAGCAAGCACGACCCTGATCGAGTTCATGTTTGTTATGAGTGTGTACGTCTCAAAGAAGTCGACACCGAACTTCTGCTTAACCCCTTTAGAGACAAGTCGGGCCTTGTACCGCACCACCTTTCCGTGCTCGATGCGCGTTTTAACGAATATTCACTTGCATCCGATTGTTCGGACATTTTTTATCTTTGGGACAAGCCTCCATGAGCTGTTATATGAGTGAGCTTCGAGTTCAGCGCTCATAGCCTACACTCATTCCTTGGCTTTGTCGCTGTCCATGGCTTGTTGATATGTAGTCGTTGCACCATCTGTATCGCCACTACTTGCCGCATATGCTAGTAAAGCTTCTGCAAGCAGGTTATCTTCATCAACAAGAGGTCGTTCAGGTGACGGCGGATAGAAATGATCGTTATTGTCATGATCGTCGTTACTGTCCATCGTGTTCTCGTCAGCCATGATCGATCCATTCTCAAGAAGAAGGAATGGTTCTCTTGGACGTCGAGATTGTTCCCTTTCGGGCCTGAAAACCATATCGCTGTTTGCTGTTGACTCATGTACCCGATGATATATCGTTAAAGTTCTCCCTGATGACATAAGATCATGTTCATCTTCTTGCATCTCGACGTTCTAAAATGGGTCCGCTGCTGACTCCATTGGCTCATCCTCCACAGGCAATTCCTTCTCAGATTCAGGCTGAGCCACTTCGTCGATGACCTTGATCACGTCGATGACTTCAGTCTTCCCCGTCATCGACGTGATATAAGTTTTATTCACCTCGCGTTCGTCTAGTTCACTGATTTTAACATCTTGACTTCATTCAGCTCCAGATCATAGACACTATAGCCCTTCGTATCGTCCCCATATCCAAGGAACATACACTTGAAGCTCTTTGGCTCGATCTGGGTGCGTTGTAGCGTCTTAAACATGAGCATAACCCATTGATCCAAACGCTCGCAAGTGGTCCAGTCGAGGCTTCATCTTGAATCCTATCGCGTATGGAGTCGCGTCAGTGTGTGTGCTGTTTGTTGTCTGGTTGATTAAGTACACTATCGTGCTAATTGCCTCTGCCCACCAGGAAGTAAATAAACCGTTGTAGTGCATCATACTCCGTGCCTTCTCCATTATCGTTTGATTCATCCGCTCATCCACTCCATTTTGTTGAGTTCTGTATGGCACAGTCTTCTAGTGTAAATACCGTTACGCTGACAAATTTCATTTATGGCCTTGTTTACAAACTCGGTGCCGTTGTCAAAGAGTATACACTTGATGCGCTCTCCCCACTGATTCTCGTACATGGTCTTATAAGACAAACATTCTCGGCACTTCGCTTTTCTTCTTAGGAAGTATGCCACAACGTACTTCGAGTAGTCGTCCACGAAGGTAAATACATACTTCGCGCCTCCTTTTGATTTCGTCTTCATCGTTCCCATTACGTCTGTGTGCACAAGCTCCAAAATACGGGACGTCTTCGTCTGTGAATGAGATGGTAATTGCGCCACCGTTTGCTTTCCTTTTGAGCATCCACTGTATATAGCCTTCGTCTTTTTACTGGCAATTGGAATACCAGTCGTCACACGCTGCATCTTTGCCAGCGTGTTTTTGTTAAAGGGACCCATGCGAGCGTGCCAAAGCTCATACTTGCTATCGACGTCCAAATATGCAACGTATCGCGTTGTTTCCTGCTCAAATTCCCAGCATGTAGGCCTTGCCTTACCTTCCCTCTGATGCGGTCGCTTAGTTCTTGTTTCAAATGATACATGATGTGCGTTCAAACTCAGCATTGAGCCCGCGTTCTACAATCTTGCCGACCGATTGTAGTCGTCGATCCAGGCCAGGGATTTGGAGGACGTCTAGCATCTGAATGCGCTTGCCGTCAATGACCGTTAAGCGCACCGACCCAGTTCCTATCTTCTTTCCATCAGCGATGGTCACCTCAATTCTTGTCACTATGTTCTTGTAGTCGAACAAGTCTTCTTGGTGCGGCGTCATGTGTGCCGTCACACCACTATCGATTAGCCAACCCTGATGATCGACTCTCCCCGGCAGCGAAAACAGCGTCCTCGTCATCCTTGCCAGGCCCCTTCATGTCCGGGCAGTCCCGCTTCATGTGACCAAACTTGTCACAGTTGAAGCAAATGCCTTTGAACCCACTTTGCTTTCTCGAGACGTTTTCCTTGCGACCGTTGTTCCTTTCGCACTTGTCGACCCTTACGATCTTCGACTTGACCCCATGCGTTGTATCCTTAAGAGAGCATTCCGTGGCTCCCTTCTTGTCCTGTCGCTCATACTCCTTGAGCAGCTTCTCCTTCACCTCAATTAGCGTGATGTCCTTGGCGTTCTCCACGATCGACGCGATGACCTCGTACTCTGCAGGCAGACTGCTGAGAAAAACCATGAGCTGTCGCGCTTCGTCAACCGGCTCACCCAGAGACTGGAGACCAACAATGAGATCATCGAACTTGTCCAGATGCTGGGTCATCGTCGCGCCGTCGTCCATCTAAAGAATCATGGATGCGGCGGGTCATCGTCACTCGATTGTGCATGGTCGTGCGATTGTAAATCTCACGCAACGTAATCCATGCCTGGATAGATGTCGCTGCCGACCGAATCTTGGTATGATGCTCCACCGCAATGCATTAAGCAATCAGACCCAGTGCTTTCATGATGTTTATCACCCACGACTCATTCATCTCGGCTACGGGCTTGACCATCTGAATGTGCGCTAGCAGTCCCTTACTCGCTAGCGTCATTTGCATGACGAACTCTCAGTAAAAGTAGTTGTCGCTCCCAAGGATGATTTCATCCTTCTTCGCAGACATGGGAGCGGCGAAAGTTGATCTTAAACGTCTTGCGGCTGTTAACCTGTTAAAGTGAAGGTAGGAGAAGGTAAATTGTGAAGTAAATATATTTGGTCTTTAGTTCCTATCTTGAGCTACATCTAAGCCTGTCCCCATCAGAGCTTCGTTACTGAGGTCATCTAGACATGTGCGCTAATAACGTCATGCCCTTTCAGATATTAGCCTCTATCACATACGTATCCTGTAACGTCAATATATGAATATGATAGCCTGTAACGCCATTCGCCTGGCCAACATGCATTCAGCGGTGAAATATTAACAGACGGACTTGTGGTGTTGCGGAAAGACACGTGAGTATGCGATTTGCTCCAGCCGTTGCTTTCGTCACGGAGAGTCTGTTCAAATAGTTAGTGAAGATGGCTAGCAAACAACCATACCACAATGGTTGGAGTAGAGGACACAAAGTAACTAGGAGTCTACGACATGCTTGTACAGAATTACATGTCCAAACAGCCATCAAGTGCAAACACTCGGACGGCCCTGATATCATCCAACACATAGTCAACAAGCTCGGACACGACGGCAAAGATGATGTTTGTAGCGGAATGACACGACGGTTGGATAATTATATCTAACATCACACCACAGTTGTAAGCCATAAACCTTGCATATCCGACCCCGCGGTGTACTGGTTACCACTTACTTCGAGGCCTGGAGGTTACAGATTCGATACCCACGGCCGACAAATCCTCAAGTGGGCTGTAAATGTGCATCCGTGTACTAGATGCGCCAAAATGCGCACTTCAATTGGAAGATGAAATATCACCATAAATTTTGCATAAGATGCCCTATTCTAATACTTTCTTGTAAGATGTCATGAGGTAAATTAGACATTAGGTCAGGCCTAACAATAACAAAAGAGCGTTATTAATCAATGGGGCGTTACAGTCTGGTGCTGAATCATGACACGCTCACACTTCGGGGCTCTCGTCCTGATCCAGAACCTTGCGCAGTTTATCCACCACGAATATCTGCTTGGTGAGCAACTTGGTCTGTAAATTGGCCGAGATGCCCGTTTTTTCACGTCCACCTTGGTGATGTACGTGACATTGACGCCCGTGTAGTCCTCATTGGACGTGATTAAACATCCAGCCATGATGATATTGCTGCGCACAATGTGTGGCTTCTGGTTCTTGACAAAGGTGTTGTCGCCCACGTCGGTCGCCACAATGAGTATGGATCCATCAGCCAATACGCGCCATTGAAGACATCTACACGCTGCGTAGCCAATAGCTGTGGGTGGTCGTAGGTACGATACGCTGTTGAAGATTTCTACGATTGTGTGTGTTGAAGACGAGGAAGAAGATCATGCAATGCGATTACAAACTACGACAGCTCAGGATCAAAACGGCCAACGTGAGTCTCTTTCGAGTGGGTGTCCGATTGTTGTTCCGGAAGAGGGTTTACGTGCTGTCTTGGAAGAATACAGCGAGATTATCGAGAAGACAGCGGCACAGATGGAAGCTGAATTGAACGATGAAACGTCATGGGACTTCATTGGAGACAAAGATGGTGTCAAAGCCTACACCAAAGTGGACGGCTCGCTGACAGCGGCCAAGGGTGTGGGCTTTTTGCCGTATCACCCGCGTGTCATTTGGGACCAGTTTATTGACGCCACCAAACGAAAACTCGTGGACCACCAGCTTGCTCTTGGCAGAAAGTTAAAAAACATTGCATCCTCAGACCCATATCGACTATCTAGAGTACAAGCCCATCTTTGTGATCGCTGGTCGCGACTTTTGCAACCTCGTGCATTGGCGCGTGCTTCCTGGTGGCACAATTATTGTGGTTGTGCAGAGTATTGAAGATCTGGAGCTCTGCCCGCTTAAAGAACCTAAGGTCGTTCGCGGTGATCTGCACCTGGCTTGCACCAAGATAGTGCCTAATGCGGCGTATGACGGCGCCATGGTGACTACCATGGTCAAAACAGATATCAAGGGTAGCATTCAAATGACCAATAGCTATTATCCCGCTCCTACGGTGGACATCTCTTGTCTGGTTGCGCTGGGTGACGGCAAAGACTTTGGCGTGTGCCGACTCCGTGATTGACAAGATGAACTTGCAGGACGTCTGCAACTGTCTGCGTGGCGTTTCTACTAAAATGTGTAGTGACCAGGGGGACCGAAACAAAAGCATGAGTTTGCTGCCAACCTGGGTCATGCGTAATGTCTTCGGGTGGCTTGGGGGTGCCTGTGGTGTTCGCATTCCACAGGTGGGTAAAGATCCGTTCAAGTTTGGCAGCTGTATGGTGACATCCGTCGGCATGATGGGGTTGGACATGGCGTTCCCTCCTACTACATTGTATTCGCAAGTGCCCATGCTCGTGAACATCGGTTCAATCTTGGACAAAGCCGTAGTTGTGAACGGCAAGGTTGAAGTGCGTCCAATGCTAACACTTACCACGACAATCGATCATCAGTACGCGAACGGTCCTGAGGTGGCTCGTATGGCCAAAAGCCTCAAGGAATTTGTCGAGAACCCGAGCTTGCTTGAGGCTATTCTCGATGCTTAGGTGCTCAACCCCGTTGGGTCTTTTCATGATATTCTAGTCAAAGTAAAGACACGACACTGCTCGTAGTTCTTCAGTGGAAGAGAACTATCAGCATATCAACCAAACCTCACTCGTTAATACCAAATCAACTTTATTTTCAATCTGTGCCTGTGTGTCAAGCAATTCAAATGGCGATCAAACTGTCAACTTCTCAAGGTGTATGGTGTGTGCATGTACTGATAGCAGAAAACACTGAGCTTGACCGCTTTTCACGACCTTCAAATATCTGTTGGATCTCCTCCAGCTCCAAGCCCTTTGTCTCGGGTAGCTCCTTCCATAAGTATGTAAAACCGAACAATGCGATCGATGCGTACAGCCAGAACGCACCGTAGACAGATAACTCGTCGACAATGGATAAGAACGTAAATGATACCAGCAAATTTGAGACCCAGCATACGGACGTCGCCAAACTTATAGCAAAACTTCGGACGCGAAGAGGGTAAATCTCCGCGTTGATCGTCCAGGGCATGCAGCCCATACCACTGGCAAAAAAAGCGAGGTAAACGAAAAGCACAACAAAGATTGTCCAGCCCGGGGCTCGGCTGTCGTGTGGACATGACTGGAAGGACCAGTTGCCGCTGGAGCATGACCCCTGCATAGTCGACGCAGCGTTTCCTGGCATACACAAGTTTGCGTTCGTGGGGTTGGTCATTCCGAAAACTGGGTCAAGAGAACCCTCGGAACAGTATCCGCATGCAGCATTTGTGACACAAGCGAGGCACGTTGGGACGCCCGAGCATTCCCCGACGCCCGTTACCTCCACCGACAGGGTTTCTGCTGCGTAGAAGCTTCCTCCAAGAGCAACTAGAGAGAAAAAGACACCGGCTAGGCTTCCGAGCGTTAGAACTCGACGACCCGCACGGTCCACGAGATAGACCCCGACAAACGTGAAGATGAAGTTGCTGAAGGAGACAAGCGCCGAGAGCCAAATGGCGGTGGTGGGGTCCGTGAACCCGGCCATTTGAATTATAGTGGCGCCGTAGTACATTACCGTGTTGATTCCACAGAGCTGGGCGAGCGCCTGCATGAAGCAGCCAAGTATTAGTGCACGGATGACTGCAGGAGATCGCAGGTCGTCCCATACGTTGTTGTCTTCATAGCGATCGCGTTCCACTTCGTCCTCCACATGACCAAATTCAACTGAGACGTCCATCGTGCCTCGAATCTTGATAAGGGAATCCCAAGCTTCCTCTTTTCTTCCTTTGCTCATGAGGTAGCGCGGGGTCTCGGGCAGGACGAGAAAACTGAGGAGCTGCAAAATAGCAGGGAGCGCTGCCAATCCAAGCATGTAGCGCCATCCATTGTCCACACCAGCAAGCATTGCGTCAAGAACGCAAGCGAAAAATTGTCCACCAGTGACACACGCGTTATTCAACGACACGAGTTGTCCTCGGATATTTGGTGGCGATACTTCAGCAATGTACAGCGGTACGGTCATGGAAGCAAACCCAATTGCAATCCCAACAATGAGACGTCCAGTGAGTAGCTCCCCAAATGAATGAGCTGTTGCCATCAATATTGAACCAGCTGTGAACATGGCAGAGGATAGCAGAATCACACGACGTCGACCAAACATTTCATTTCCACAGCTACTTAGAGCTGCGCCAATGATGGCGCCTCCAATTGCAGCAGACACGATCGATTCACTCTCAAAGTCCGAGAGATTAAATACTTGTGGACTTTTGAGCAAGACGAGTGCTCCAGAGATGACCCCCGTATCGTAACCAAAGAGAAAGCCACCGATAGTTGAACAAACTGTGAGCAGATACAAGTAAAGTGGATTGCCTTCTTTAGGTTGCAATGTATCTGCCTTGGGCAATAAAGGGACGGATTCCTGCAAATGCTTTTGCTCTTGAACCTTTTGCATCATAATCAATGAGTTATCCGTCATGTTGAAGTCTGAAGTTCGTTGATTGCGTCTAAGACGGCAAATGAGTAAATGATCGTCTCCTGGGCGACCGTTATATAGAGATTGGCCAATGATGAGAACACAATGTGGGTAAGGTAGATGCAAATCTTAGTGTAGTATGCTCCAGGCGACGTTCGGAAGCAATTTGATCTTATTAGTCGCACAACAACAACTAGCTATAATTCCTACTCCTACGTATAGTAAGAGGTCTATCGGCTATGAAGGACAAGGATATTGCAATTTGGGAAAGAGTCGCAACATTCGTCACTAGGACTTTCTTGTATATTGCGAATTGTATGATGCAGTTGAAATGATCTTCACTGTCGATTGCTTTTTGTATGGAGAGAGAGAGAGCACTTAGATATTTGCTGTTACGTTCGACATGTTTATGCACTTTCTAGAAGAGTGTTGGATCACAAACATTTCGTACACCAAAGATTTGTATTCTTGGAACGTTCTTGGAAGAGGATTTTAGGCAGTCAAGTGCGACAACGGACAGAGACGGAGACGTCCATGATTGTGGCGAACCGGCTATCCTTAACATGGGTTCAATTTGAAGTGCTTTGACCAATCAGATAGCAGCGATGAGCATGCAGCTTTCCGACTTCTTCAGTCTCTAGTAACTATTCATATGCAAATGAAAAGGACTGCTACGTTAGCACAACTAACATCTCTCCATTCCTATATCTATTGACTCTTTGCGCTTCCATTGGTGGCTTTCTCTTTGGTTATGATACAGTCAGTTCCTATCCGCTCTATACTTTCAAACTGCACTAATGCTCTCTCCAATGAGCTTACTATGTCTTCATGTCTTTATCTATTCTATTGATTGGATAGTGCACCGTTTCAAGAGCTTTGGTGCTGCTTTAAAGCCTACAAGGCTTCGCCTCTCGGGTTGTTGCTGCTACGCTATTACTGGCGCAACACTGAGTGGCATTGGCAACGACAAGTTCGGGTTTGAAGATTATGTGGCTGCCAAGAAGTTGACGTGGAGCTGGAGCACATCGAAGCTGAAAGTCAGGGCTCAATCGAATGTAGAAGTCTTGAACCTCTGGTAAGACTTGCAATCACCCGCACTCGTGCGTGCACTCACAATTGGATGCAGTTTGCAGTGTGTGCAACAACTTTGTGATGTACTACGGAGCTACAATCATCCAGATGGCTGGATTCACAGACCCCACAACTATCAGCACTCGTGTCTTTTAGTAGTTTCGTCTTCACTTTCGTCGGTATCTACCTCGTGGCTGCCACGACCATGGATCCTAGGTAGCTTGACCTGTATTTTCTTTCCTTAATGGTACTCGGAGGAAGTCTTTTATGTGGCTAAGAAAAGGACGGTTCACGTCAAAGGCACAGACGCGTGTGTAGGTATCTTGACATGCTTTCACTGTGCTAGCTAACATAGCCTGTGGCTATTACTCTCGCATGAAAACTAACTAATGCATGCCAGGAACAGCAGTATCTCCTTTGTTGAGAGAATCGAGTAGAGCTACAATTCGTGTCTTAACGAAAGCCAAGGAGTTATCGAGCATTATATGCATGTATCTAGTGTTCTTTACAAGTGAAATGGTGAGGTGCATACCATGGACGATCACTGCTAGAATGTACCCACTGTGCGTACAAAGCTTTGTCTCGACATCGGGTGTCTAATGTTACTGTAGCGTTCACCTTCCTGTCACCTACTGAAACATTCTCCTTTTTAACACAGTATAATCACTGTTACGTTGCCCGTAATCTATCGTATCCATTCAAGTTGCGCCAATAAAATACGCCCACTTCATCATATGACGACTCCGCCACCTGTACGAACAGGAATAGTAGCTCCAAGTACCGCTTCTGAAGCTTCCAATGCATTACATAAGAACTCACCACATCTACACTCCGTCGCTAGCAGCCTCCGATCCTGTTTGGATGGCATGTTGCCCGACAATCTACGCAACGACAGTACTTTGTTCGAGCAACATTGTATGTACTGACTTGAATTATCGTATATCAGTACATGATAAAAACTAACCCATTTGTATCCCTATTACTGTAGTATTCCAGCAACAGAATCGACTCCAGAGTGAAAAGAATTCCTGGCGATTTGGTCTGAATTATCTCTTTGAAACACTCAAGCAACATAAGGAGTGGTACGCCCGCAACCAGCAATTTGTGCAGCTACGAAAGGACGTCCAACGTTTTGAGAGTCACGTGGCCACTGTACGAGCCATTTTGGCTGAGAGTGTAAGCAAATTGGACCTAGAAGCGGGACTTCGAGGAGCTGAACTAGAGGGACGTGTCGGAGCTTATAAGATCATGTTTGAAGTCACTAAAATTGTCTCAAACCTCAGTCGTCCATTGGTGAAATTGCAGATTCTTAAGCCCAATGAGTCATCGCTGTCCATTTACTGTGATACTTTTGTGCTGGACATTGTACTGTCGGGTGGAGAGGTAGTAGAGAGTTTTTTTGAAGGTGTTACGGTAGTGAGGTGACTGATAGTAGATTGTATCAACTTGTGATGGGGTGAACAGGGTGCTGTGGAGTCGGCGTCGCTGACGACGGTCGAGAAAGGTGACGACAGTGTCTTGGCTTGTACTACATGCATGATACTTTACTAGTTTAATAACTATGATCTGTTTTCTATATTCTTGCTGATAACAGACCAATCTAGTCAATTTCCGGATCGAGATGAAGACCTGCTTGCATCGTTGAAGCTACTGGCCAATGGCGTTAGCGCAAACTTTACGGTTTGATGATCTTTTTTGGCTTTCAGTTTTTGTTTTTTTTGGTTGGTTTGTTTTATGCTGTTTTGAATGTGCATTGTGTATAGGAAAAGCTGAACCGATTGATCAATCGCGCGGAGTTAGCTGTGAAGTTTCCATCGTGTGAGTATGGATTACTATAGAGGTGGCTTGCTTATTCTTGACTGGTATTGCTGTTTTCGCAGTGAGCTTTGAGCAGCTTGAACGCGAGCTATTTACCAATGCCACCGAGGCATGCAACCACCAGGTGGCGGCGTAGTAACGATGTGTCAGTGTAATTTGGTCCAAATCTGACTGTAAAACGCCGTGGTTCGTGCTGTCGCAGAAATACTGGACAGCAAAGCGCGCAGTGGAGGGCGTTCGAATCACGTTCAAAGATCCGCATGCATGCGTTCCTGTGATCGAGCCGCCACGCAAGCGTATGAAGCTTGATGATTCACAGGCAGGAGTGGCATCTGGGACTAGTTCTGGTCCTACCGACGCGGCAACCATTGATGAGAACAACAATCCTGATGACGATCTGGATGATCCCAACATAACATCGTCATCCACGCACGCAGATGTTCTGTCTCCGCTAGCGAATGGCGAGTGGGCCGGAAGCATCAGTTTCATTGAATGGCGTGGTGAAGTGGCGTTACACGTGGTTGGAGATATTCCTCTCGTAATGGTTGGCCAGCAAGCTCGAAAGCTAGCTCTTGTAGCAATGCAGAAATATTCAGATGTGGATACGACAGCACCAAGAGATTTGAATGAAGATGAAAAACTCTTTAACGAGTTTGTGAGCTGGACGACTCTTGATGGAAAGAAGCCAATTTTGCCCCGGCTACACTTTGCTCGGAACCACAGCATGTGCTCGGTATTCCCTCCACGTTCGTCGCTAGCGATGCGTCAAGAGTACACGTTGACGACGAAAGAAATTTCTGGTGGTCTTAAGCTGCAATCTTTTCCAATTCCGGTACGATAAGGTATTTGAATGCGAACATGTATGGATACTTACTTACACACGGCTCATGTCTGTGATGTCAAATTAGTTGTCAAACGCTTCGTTGGAGACGCTGACCAACGTTGTTCAGATATGCGGAAGAAGCTTGTTCTTTCATGCGCTTTTGTTGTCCGCCTTTTGCTCTAGAAGCAACGTGTTTGGCCAACGTATATCTGCTGACAATGAAGATTCAGTTAACAGTACGATTTGTTTTGATCTGTACACTTTGGCTTATAACAAAAAGTGCTGATTAAGTGATGGATGGACAGCTCGGATCAAAGTAGACGTTGCGGCACCAGAGCGCATTACAATGAACACTGGAGATCTTTTGGGGGCTGGAAAGCAGGTGCTGATCGAGTTGAACACAAAACCAGATTGTTCATTGGAACTCAGCTTGAAGTATCAGACCGAAACGACACCTGCGCTTCCTCTAGAAAATGCTGCTACCCTGCAGAAGTTGGTGAATACATGCCATTCGATCCCCTTGCTCACATACTATGCATTGAAGCGTACGATTCAAGCTAAGAACGGCCCGTCTTCTGCTGATGCTGCGGGCGTTAATGGGGATGACTGCGACGGTATTGTAGCGCTGGATGGTGACTTATCTGTGTCGATGAAGATGGAGGGAGAGGGCATGCTGCTGGATGAGATGGATATGTTTTAGGAAGTAGTGGCTCTCCTCGCTTTCGTCGCTATCGTGAAAAATGGTGATATTCGCCACCTATGATGCTTTAACGCATTGAAAACTTAAAACGCATGGTAGTTCATCTTGCAACACGAAACATTTTTCTGGAAGCTGATGCTTGAGGTGTCGATGCCTGGGTTAATCTTGGCTGGGGTGTGTTGATCCTGTACCTGAGCAATTATCGCTGGATCTGCTTGGCATATACTTTCATCTGCCCCAACTCGGCAAACTCACCGATGCTTTCAGATTTCTGTATCGTGTCCAAGGTAGCGTGTCTAACAAGATTCACTTCCCCTTTGCTTGCATACTGAACCGTGAAAAGCAGATGCGTCATGCACTGGAATGAATTCTTGTTGGTGGTCATCTGCTGTGTGGGTGGTATCAAAGCGACTGTTGTAGGACACAAAAAGTCACGATGACAACAAACATTTCTGCTCGCTTGCTTGGCGGCTGTTAGCATAATGCAGAAACACTCCACGAGGATTGAAGTAGAATGTTCATTCCAATGACTTAAGAGACCATAAACGCACAGTTTTGTCGTCGCTTGCGCTGGCAATCACATTGGAACGAATTGGATGGCGCACCACCACATTTACGACACTTGAGTGTCCATCTAGCTTGCCCACTTGCTTACCACTGTTTCGCTGCCACAAATACACCGCACCGTCTAATCAAAAAGGTCATACGAATCGGTCATTTTAGTTACTCAACACGTATTGTCAAAGATTCTTCATACCTTCACTTCCAGAGACAACAAGCTCGCTGTGGTCTCCCCCAAAGCAGGGGCGAAGAACGTATCTTCGCTCGCGAAGCCCACGGTACTTGGCTACCACAGAACCAGTCGCTATCTCCACACACGCAATTTGCTCTTCTTTGACAAAGTTCACAAGTAGAAACTTTCCAGACGGGGATATGCTTAGACATGACACGAGATGTTCGGCTTGCAGAAACAGTGTGTCCGATTTGAGGGTGGTATCGTACACGCGAACCTCGTACCCTGATGTCAGCACGAACACCTTGCTCTCGTGTGGGTGCACAGCGATATCCAGCACCTTTCGTCCACTCCACTGATACGCAGTAGAGCCTTCGTTTGTATTCTACAACGAAATAGCTGAGTAAGAACGCCTCACTGAAGTTAATTGCACAGCATTAAGGTTGTCATACCCATAGAACGAGAGACTTGTCTGCACTTCCACTTATGAACTGACCCCCACATGGCAGCCACTGCAATTTTGTGACCACTCCTTCTGGATGCTGAAAGCTCTTTTCGCACAATCCGCTCTACATATCGAGCACAAAACGGAGGTGAAAAGCTTGGTCAAAATGCTCAAACGTTCAAGGTAATGAAAAGTGGACAATATATACACACCATTCGATACCACAACTGAATGGTTTCAGAGCGGCTTCCACTCGATAGCAACATCTTGCTGTCTGAAGACCATGCAAGGCAATCAGCAGGTCCGTCGAGGCTTTGCAACACATGAAGAACTTCTACCGAGCACTACCCTCATATTCCACCAAAAGTCAGATACGTAACAAGATTAATCCGTTATCATGAACTCACCTGGAATTTTTGACGACAACTTGTTGCTCCGTCATCCCATTTTATCTGCCACAACACAATCGATCCATCACTCGATGCCGATGCCAAGATATCTCCATCCGGCGAGAATGCCAGCTCCCACACGTCACACTTGATATCACTTGTAAGAATCTCGACACATTCTCCAGCAATACACCCCGTCAGCATCGACGATAATGCTTGTAGTTCCATCTCAGATCCTCCATCCTCCACGAGCTTCTATCAAGACACAATAGACATAACCGACACAACAAGAATCAAATTTCTCCACTTGTGCTCTGTGTATCTCGACCCCAACGCACCCGTAAAGCTCCTTTTGGAATTAATTCTTCGGAACTCACTAGTTCTTCAATTTTCCATTGCAATTCTTCATCCAACCACGGTATTGTAGCTCTTTGTTTCATCTCATTGGCATCTCGACAAAGTAAAAGTTCTGCTAATTGCATCACCTCCATCTCCTTTGGTTCATAAAGTGGCACGATTTCTTCTTGAAATGTCCGTAAAGCCAGGGATAACTGTTTACTTAAGAGAAACTCAATAAATTTCCTCTGAAGTAACAATAAGACGGCTTGGCGGGCTGCTAGTGGCGACTTCATTTCCACCATCTGGTGTGCGGGATGGCCCCCTTTTTTTGTCACCAACAGTTGCACGGCTTGGTCCCACTGGTGTTGGGATATCAATTCTTGCAGGTTTTTCATCGCTCGAGACCGTAATTGGACGCACGCGTCCCGTTCTAGAGCCGCCGCAACGTCTTGAAAGCCCAAATCATAAAGTTCTCGAAGTAAAAAACGTGTCCATTTCTTACGTCGTTTTTGATGTAGAAAAGAGGATGAAGTTGCCTCATAAACAAGAGAAGAGAAAGCAGGAGAACGTTGACGCTTGATGTCCTCGGACAAACGCGACATTTGGGTCCTTTTTTGCCGCGTAATGCGATATTTACAATAAGAAAAAGTCGATAGGACGACGAGCTTTGAAAAATAACAAATCTAGCCCAATAACGAAATACATTCTTGCGACATAAGACGGATTCTGAGTCGAAGACACACTTTTGTCCCACGTATCAGAATCAGACGTTCATCTTTCTCTTTCTTCTCAACAAGTGATTTCTAGATGTCATCTATATGTCTCAAAAGTCCACCATTCTTTTACGAAACAAGACGGGCTTATCAATACTTGCCACTCAATGGTGCATTGTGGTACGAGGAAGAAGGACTTTCGCACGAGTATCCATCACCTTCCTCCGTCGTCGACTTCACCTCACGGATGCGGCCTTCCATAATATCCACAGATATACTGAGACCCACAGGTAGCAGCATAGCATTGTTTAAACAGGCACACACCGCTGCAGCGATCAACGTTCGAAAGAAACAATGACCAGCAGGCTCAAACACAGGTATTGTCACCAAGGCGAGCGCAGCAATGGCAACGAACTTTGAGAAAGCGACTCCTAGCGTCCAAGACGACAGCAACTGGGTCAATACTTTCTTCACACAGGCATCTCCCATTGGGAGGTAGCCAAAATCGTCCGTCACAGTACGAGCCTTGGCAAACAAGCGAACAAAGTGTCCAGAGAATCCCACGGAAAAAGCGGCAGCGACCGAAAGACACACGATGGAAAGCGAGTTGAGAGGCACATCCATTGGCATCATCAAACCAGCAACCTGGATCACAGTGACTGCTGCGATGAAAGTCACTGCAAAGCCGTACCAGTAGCTGCCGAGGGCTGCGCTTTGCAGCACAAATACAATGGCGAGACCGACACCCACAACAATATACACCGTGCGACGAACGGAGTGAAATTGGTCCAAGAAGACGTACATGGGTGAGTATACCCAAACGTCAATACCAGTCTCGTCGCTGATCCACTTTGCAATATACTGAGCCTGCGAATACGCTGTAATTGCCCCCTCTTGGCTGTCTGAATTTGTAGACGAGTCCACAGTCGTGCTCATAACCTTGTACGCAAACGCAGTGATATCGTTGCCGTATCCAGTACCATTTAGCGTCACGTCCAAAGTAGTGACGTTGCTCATTGCAGGGATGGCTTTGCTGTCAATACTAAGCTGTCTATGATAGCGCGTGCCTCCAGCGTACGAGCAAAGTGGACCAGCAGCTGCCGTAGAAAACATACTAAACAATGACATGAATGATTCTTGTGGTACAGATAGAATCTCACTTCCATCCGCCAAACAGGAAAGTGCCATTGAGGCGCGTTTAAGAACATACTCATCGCTGCTTTCATTCGGGTACAAAGGAGAGTACGAGTAGCCGTTTTCCGGGTCAACGCGGCAGCATTCCCTGTTTGGGTCAATAAAGCCCCAGAAATCATCCAGCCACGAGCCAACAACTGCGCCATCTTTGAAATGCGTCACATTGCTTTCACCATCTGCTACCAGAGCGTTGAGGATGTTTGGGATTGATAAGTCGGAACAAATCTCCTTTGACGAGCACAGCTTGCTGTGAGCCTTCGTATCATTCGCGAGACTATTAAATCGATCAGTGTTGCTACCGTAACCAGCTTCAACCACGAAATAAACAGGAAAGTCTTTAGCTGACAAGTCCATATCATCGACTGCGCCATAGTATGCGTGCAGGTATGAGCTCGATGGAATAAACGAGGTCGGTGAAAGACCACGGGACATTGCCTCAATAGAAACGATCGCCGCCAGAGTACACACAGCAAAGACTAGCAGCACGAGTGCCTTTGATAATTTCTTCAGCAACACCTTGACGTAGCCAGTGACATAGCGGTCTCTCAGATTCAAGTCAGGTATGGAGTACAAACTCCCTGGAAACGACGAGTTTTCGGTCGCCGCGGTATTTTCATCTTCAGAAAGACGGGGGCGGTGGGCAAATGACGCGCGTTTACAACAAATCACATCGTACGTGCCGCTCAGCTCGCGACGTTTATCAAGTGTGACGATCGCTAGGAATAACGTCATCTGCAAAGCAAAACTGGCTGCAATAGCTACCACCAGCGAGCCAGCAAGCCACTGAGCAGCTGGCATTGCCGAATATGCAGCAAAAGCAACAACGCAACATTCGCACGTAGCAGTCAGGATCATACTGGGACCAATGTAACCTGTCGCCTCACATAGGAGAACGCACGTAATCTCGTGAATGCCAAAGTCGTTGTCTTCCAGCCCAACAAAAAGAGACCGTTGCTCCATCTTCAGCTCATCTTGTTTCAGATCAACGGCATGAAGAATCAAGAAAATATTTCCGGTGCCAATAGCGAGCACAACCAACGGCACCGCAATAAGAGTTACGACCTGGAGCTTCAAGCCCGTCCATGCAAAAATTCCGAGCGTCCCAACTACGGCCGCCAGGATGCATGCAGCACCCATAAACCCCACACAGATTTTGGACAAATGGAAGAAGTGGCGGTTCAGCTTCCAGTGATTCAATCCAATAATGACATAAACGGCCATAAAGATAAAGCCTCCAATTACAGCCTTGAATACAATGTCCATGTTCGACGCACTCGCAAATTCATCGTCTGTGGACGTCTCAGCAGCATAATTAATGTCGTACAGCGCATTGGTCTCCGCTTCTTTCTTCATTCGCGCAATAAATGCACGCTCCCAAGCAACTGCGTTCGTATTCTTAGCTGTGTCTTGATAATTAATCACTGCAGCGGTTGAAAAGAGTGTACTTGCTTGCTGCAGGTACGTGCTTGCATCCAGCGAGTCATTGTGCATATTACGTCCACCAAGGTACTTTTTCAACTCGGTCATGGGTGCGCCAAAAGACGACACGCACGGACACATTCTCATACTAGTAGGAAGCGATGAGCCGGATGCATTGAGCTGCACTCGCAATTCGCTGCATACGTCCACGTCTGCTCGCTCCGGAGCAACCGCACAGTTTCTCAAGTGTTTGCTGACCAGACCGTACGTCTCATATACTTCGAAGTGCTCCATGTTGTTCTGGAAGTACTGTGTGACCGCACTTACCTGACAAGGCGAGGTCGGAGCATCTTTGATGCAGATATCGCTCAACGTAATACTGTCGGATGTGATTTCGTTCTCAATAATTTGCTGTAAACGGATCGCCTCCTTTAAGTACGCCGACCTCGTCACCGTGCCACCGTCCTTCGCTGCAAGGACCAATCGCTCCACCCGGTCAAGAGGCCCGAATATCTCACCAAAGCGTGACCTCTCCTGAAAGACTGTGCTGCTCTCCGATACCCACAGCCTGAATGAGTCCGTTTCTATTTCCAATCGAAGTAGGCCGCTTGCACAGCAGATTGTAATCATCGATGAAAGCAGAATAATGTAATGTGGATGATTCCCCATGGCCACAAAATCTCCCCAGCGTTTTAAATACTGTGTTAGCTGACCGTCCCATCTTCCAAGGCCCTTTAGCTGATCCAGATCCACCAGCAGCAGCATTGAAGGACCCAGTGAATCGTTAACAGGGTCACCCAATACAGACTGTCGCTTCTTCTTGCCGTATCGAGTGGAGTACGCAAAGCCGAGGGCCAGCGCAGTTGCAGCGAAGAATGCAAGCACAGCTAAAAAGTAATTCAGCACCACAAAACTTTTACCTTTAGCACGGGACGACAAATCCGCTAGCAAGGATTTAATCTTGCTGGCACCACTTGATCGACTGTGGGTGAGTGTGCTCTTCAAAGTGATAATACTCAAATCATCCGATGCCGAGATGCTACCAGTGTTATAGCAGGCTGACACGTATTGACGGCTGTCATTAGCATTCACAGCACACAATGGGCCGCACGTATCCACACACGATTCAAGCCGCGTATCCATCGGCGCAAAGCAGCTAGTCATGTTTGTACTACTACAAGCACAAATCTTTTCTGCCTGTTCAGCCGTCGAGAGTTGCTCCATCGTAGTGAAGTTAACTTGCGACGGTGATCCCGTACTGCCAAAGCTGTACGCGCCCAGGTACTCCAGCATGTCTGAACTTGTCTTTGAGCACTTGTCCCCGTTCGTGCCACACACTAGCGGCATGAATCCCATGTCGGCCTCACAAAAGTCGTGGAGGTCGCGCACCATGTCGCTACCCACGTAGTATATGGCCTCCTCGATCGCAGGGAAGACCTCGTCCGCGTGATCCAAGTCCCCTGCCATAAGCCGCACTTGGGTCACGTCCACAAACAAACTATTGCTAGGATGACACGTAAACTGGCACCATAAGTTGCGTAAGTTCTCCTTACAGGACGTGCATTGTCCTGGCAATTCCCGGATCTGCCTACTGAGCATCTCGTACTGCGTCTCCGTGCAACACAATAGATCGTGTCCTTCTCCAACCACCGTCTCATTATACAAAAGTGAACAGTCTGTCTGGAATTTCTCCTTATTCATATCCGACCATGCTAAAAAGTTGTTGACAAAGCCCTCTGCATTAGCCTCTTCGACCCCAATGGGGAAGTACTGAGCTCGTAATGCAGCTCCAGCTGTAACGTTCACATAGGCAGCATCAAATGCTACACAATAATTTGTTGCCCGTCGATAGTCTCCCAAGACTGGAATGCTCGTGACATTGTCGATACATTCATCTTTTCCGGAATATTTACATGTCGTCAATTGCTGCTGCAGTGCAACGAGAGCTGCAGTCGAATCAGTATCAAATGTCGTCTGAGCAGCTATTGCCGTGTCAGTTTGAAGACTACGAAAATGGTCCAAAGAGATTTTCGTCCCAGTCTCAGTCTCTCCTCCTCCTCCTATGACCACACTGCTGATAATTGGCAACATAGCGAGCACAAGAAGTGACGAGGTCCAAAGCTGGGGTGGATAAAAGCCACTGCCTGCAATTTCACTGGTCGTGCTCTTGACACGCAGCATGAGCGCACGTTCTTTTGTCCCACGTTTCCATTGGACATGAGCAAGTGCAGTTTTCTTGGCTGTAAAGACGTCTTCATACTGTACATGAGACTGTTGTCTAGTGACAAGCTGACGATTGCGTAGAAAGCGACGACCATGGAAAATGAGCGCTAAGAGAAGAATGAGAATGAGACCAATTGATATGAGGTGAAGATGTGTAAAAAAGATGATTGAAAGCTCGGCAAATAAAGTTTCAAGCCAATAACGAACGCATGGGGTGGCAATTGCAAGACTTATAACTGCGAATAACCACATGCTCCGTAGAGCTCAAATAGTGAAATGATACGAGAGAGAGAGGGGGGAGAGAGGGGGCACTGAAGTGAGGGTAGGATGCTCTGTCAGCGTAGAAACGGGGGACGTTCTGGTTTTTGTACGGACAACAAACAAGAGTTTAGGGAATAGGGGTCTATTCAATTATATATACTGTAGAATGTAGTCAGGGTTTTCTGGAAGAAGAAGGGTGACTTGTCACAGAAACCCTTCAAAGACGATAGCAGATATTACCATGTCGTGTTTTTAGCAATAGGAAGTGTGCCATACCTTTGGTTTGCATAAACGCGGCGCAAACGTTTCTGATCCGTGGATATGGTACATGGTACCAGATTACTCGAGAGTAAAAACTCTTTCATTGAGACGACGTTACTTCAAACGAACTGAACTTATTCTGAACTTATTCATTACCACCAAAAAAGACAGGGGGTTCTAGTTGCTGTTGCTGCTGCTGCTGCTTTACAACAGACAAATCTGCTTCGTCTCCTTTTGTTTTAGCTACAGTTACAGCTCTGATTGCTGCATGCAATACTTACAAAATAACGTCAATCTTGACAGTCTTTAGTATCTCCTTCTCACTCGTCACTCATATCTTCATCCTCATCCTCACTTGTAGGTCGCTGGCGGTGTTGCACTTCAGCTGCATACACTTTTTGCAGCTCCTCGGCCGTTTGTGGAGGTGTTTTCATCAAACGCTGCAGTTTGCGCGTTGGGAAGCAGTCCGTACCACTGACGATGCACGAAATCTCATGTGCGCGTGCATACGCGTGACTGGCTGCTACGAGATCGCCCAGCACCACCTGAACCTGAGCCATATTGTCATAGTAAATGGTCTTCTCATGATGAGCTGTCGGCACTACCACGTTCATACAAGCGATGATGCGTTCCCAGACCTGGGCTAACATTCGTCGATGCTTAGCCACTTGCACCTCGATTTGGAAAGAAGTAGTGGCAGCGGCCTCGCAGCCAATATTGTCCAGCGCCCAGAACAAGAGGTAGTGATGTTCGTGTAGCACGTTGCAGTGTACGATGGCGTCCACCTCATCGAGACTCTCGGGGAATCCATCCTCCATCAGCTTCTGCTCCGCCGCCAATATCCGAGTATTTTCTTCTGCGTTTGCGATCTTACCGCACGTCTGACAATGCCACTCAAATTGCAGGTGGTTCTGTTCAATGCTGCTGCTGGTCTGCACAGGGAAAGGTAGCATGATACCCTTCGAACAGTTTCCAGACAGGCAGCGAACAGCACGCGTGGGGTCTGGCATCACCATACAGGCTTCGCACTTGCACATGAACCCGTACGAGGCAAGGAGAGACTCCTGGCGCTCAGGTGTCGGACGGTAGAAGAAATTGCCGTAGTCGATGGACAGAGCGTCTCCAGGTGCGATGGGGCGGATAGCGGTCATCCACAGTGTCGAGTCAAACGTCGTGAAGCTGCAATTGGGCATGCAATTGTGTTCCATGCGGCAAGCCGACAGGAAGAGTCCTGATCCTCCCAGGTTCTCCAGCTCGTGTGAGTTGGTATTGAGTACGCCAATGAGTGTAGCCATTTGCTTGTCCGAGAAGCCTGTGGGGAAGATGTCTGGCAGCTGACGACGCAATTGGACGGCTGCATTTGTAGCACGTTGCTGTCCAACACAAGTCAAGCCCATGACTTGATTCAAAGCGTCAGCATCGCGTTCGTAAATGGCCAGACACTTGAGGATGCAGCGTGCTCGGTCCACCTCTTCAATGCCGTCGATGGTCTTCATAATGTTCACCACCACATTGCGACGCCCTACATTGTCCTGCAGCCGTGGCGAATACATGATCTTGGATACACCAGTGCGCTCGCAATGGCATCGATGGCGAGAACCCGTCGACGCGTTGCTAGAAGCGACAGTTGCAGCTGATCGGAGCTCCTCGCATCCGCCACACAAGTCCGTGCTCCATGAGGCCGCCACGAACGCCTGCTCGCTGAATATTACGTGACCAGGCTGGAAGTCTCGCTCACTATACACTACTTTGCCCTTGACGGGATCGTGAGCTACGCGCACACCGCATACGTCGAACGTAGGAGCAGTTGCAGCCATACTCGCCAACCACTGAAAAGCTTATAATTGACTTGGTATTTGTATGGTCGAGTCGTGTACATGCGTCACTTGCATTTCTAACGCTCTATTTATTAAAGGGACTTGTCTGCTTTGAAGCCAACACGCTTGATTCAAAACGTATCACCCTTGCTTGTTACCTCTGTACTTTGGTAGAGCGTCCACATACTCGGAATAAACACAGTGCTATATCCTAATAGCTTTCCAGCCAGCAGCAACAGCTCTTCGAATTTGCTTTACCTAAATATACGGCGTGGACGACACATCGACCTTCGACTGCGATGTGTTGGAACCGAACGACATTGTCGGCGCCTCGTATGTAAAGCCTGTAAACATGCTCTTCGGTAGCCCCGAACCACCAGCAGATTTACTCAGTGGTGTGCCGCACACGGGCAGCTCCGTAAACTCCTTGTCAAAGTTCGACGTGTCTCCTTCTTCCTTAGACTGTGGATTGGACGGCTTGAACGGTGGTTCGGCCCACAGTAGACCGTCCCAATCCACCGTGCGGAAGAAACGGTGTACTTTAACGTCGCTAGCACCGCGGCTACCCAAACGCTTCTCGGGTTCACGGTGAAGTAGTGACTGAATGAGCGAAGCTGCGTCACGACTCAGATAGTTGGGGATCTCCAGCGGGGCTTCACGAATGCGTGCAAACAATTCTTGGCGATTGCGAGTGTACCAAGGAGGCAAACCCGTTAGCATCTCATACAACACCATGCCGAGTCCCCACCAGTCCACAGCCGTGCCATGACCTTTACGAGCTAGGACTTCCGGTGCCAGATACTCGGGCGTCCCGCATAACGACAAGGCACCACTACCGATCTCCGTCACCTCATCCTTGGCCAGTCCAAAGTCAGCCAACTTAATGTGGCCCATCTCATCCAGCAAAATGTTTTCAGGCTTCAGGTCACGATAAACGACGCCAAGTGAGTGTAAGTGCTCAAGTGCTACGACGAGTTCCGCGGCGTAGAAACGTGCCATCTCTTCATCAAACTTGCCCATGCGCGAGAGATGGAAGAAAAGTTCTCCACCGGGACAATAGTCCAAAACAAAATACAGCTTGGCTTCCGTTTGGAAAGCATAATGCAGTCCCACAATGAATGGATGACTCGCTACACTGAGTACACGACGTTCGGTCTTGGTGTGCTCTACCTGTTTACGTTTAAGCAAGTGAGACTTGGTCAAAATCTTCATGGCAAAGACTTTACTATTGTTCTTCTTGCGTACAAGTGTCACTTTACCAAAAGACCCCTTGCCGATTACACGAATAAGTGTAAAGTCTTCAAGACAGATTTTGTCGTCAAAATTCGTGCTTTGGACGAGCACATTAAGTTCTTTGGCCAAGGCACCATTATCGGACACAACCGTTTCAACAGGTGAACTCATGGTGTCTATGTCGTAGCTCAAATGGCCGTAATTCAGCGTCAATCTTCTGTACTGTACGTAGTAAAAAGGATACTGATCAAGTCTCAGCTTAACACAAGACGGCGACTCTCAAAGCGTCTAATGGTACAATAGTCAAGATGCCTTTTTTTCGTCCAATTGTTCAACTTGGTTTTTCTTCCACCCCTGTATATAATATATATACAGAGTATATATCAATAACGTATTTGTCGTCACTATAGTCGCTTGATCACGTTTGTTGCGCTGGATAGTCGCAAAGTGACTTTTGTACTTGGGTCTTTATGGTCCGATCCCCCCCCCCTCTCTGGCTCGATTGCAAAAAAACACAGACCTATCGAATAGCATACCGCACGAAAACCTCACTAAACAACAGCCTGTCGCATGTCGCAATCAAACGCGCAATCAAACGACGGCGTAATTTTGAAAAGGAATGGCGGATAAATTGTACGAAAATGCCACGTCTTCAGGCGGTAACCACGTGTACCCCACGCATCCAACATGGGATCAGCGACGTCAATTGGCCATTGATATTTCTAATCTAGCACCTCCTGACTTACCAGGCGTGTTGTTGCTTATCCATAATTACGACAACGTACTGGAGATGCAGGAGCTACTGCCACACAAACAATACGTGCTGCCATGGGATGCACAACAGAAGGAACAAAACGGGGTAGGTATCTTTTATATCGAAGATGCGAATGCGATTCAAATGCAGTGTCGCTTTCGATTGGACCATGCGGACGACGAGCTGTTGCGCCAGCTGCGTCAATACGTAGACGAGTGCTACGTGCCCCACTTTGTACCCAAGGAAAATTGCAGCATCTGTGAAGGTTTATGGTCCTGTGGACGCGTAATCTTTTGTGGAAATGATACGTGTCCTGTACGAGTGCACGAAGAATGTTTTGGTGTCGTCATGAGAGAACAGGACGACGGTCCGTGGCATTGTCCTTCGTGTCTTCTGGGGAAACAGCTTGCTTGTGCTGTTTGTATGCAGTACAGTGGACCATTGAAACCGCTGGCAATGGCAGACGTTTCATCGAGTGATGAACAAAAGTGGGTCCATGTGATCTGTGCTCTTGCCATCCCAGAACTTGTCATGAGAGATGTACCTAGTATGGAACCAGTGGACGGCTTTGAGGAGATTGAGAATGGAAGGTTTCGGTACTTGTGTGCGATCTGCCGCAAACGTGGTGGTGCTTCGGTCATTTGCGAGGCCGAGAACTGCAATGTAGGCGTTCATCCACAGTGTGCAGCGGACGCTGGACTCATGATCGGCAACGAGGGTAACTTGCTTGGTGTGTATTGTGACAAACACTTGCCTGCCTCGCGTATTCCAGGGGCAAAGCGCTGGATTAGTGATCAGGATCTAGTCGAAGAGATTATGAGCGAGTACTCTATTGACGAAGACATTAACAATGACCGAGTGGACATGCCACCCTATAGTGACGCCGAGCGCTATGCTTTTGTACTCCAATCGACACCGTATCTGCACTGCAAGCAGCAATTACTTGGTGCTAAGGCAACGCTACGATTTGGACCGGCGCCTTTTCCCGCATCTTCTTCTGCTCGAAGTGACATTGATCGCAAGACATTTGCTGGCGTCAAAATTACCGCGAACGCTTACACTCCACCTGCTATGGTGGTTCAAGGTATGAACACGCAAAGGCCGATTGTTTTTCCGCCGCCAGGCCAATCGCCGAGTGAGAAGCGACTGGGTTTGCCAGAATTTCCGAAGGGAAGACATGCAGTTGGAGCCATAGTAGATTACTTAGTCAAGGCGCAGGATAAGTGGCAACGCGCGCGCGTGTTGCAATGGGACAAGGAGAAGAAGATGCACCTTGTGCAGATCGTGGCCTCTGGGCAGAAATTTTGGGGCAAGCTGGATGCGGACAACACGTTGATATTGTATCTCCCGGACGAGGAGAACGTTGTAGATGGCCCATTGGTGAAGCTCATCCGTCCAGTGACCCAAGGTGCCGTGCAGTGGCGTCCAAGGCCGCGTCAGTTTGCACAAGCATCATGAAAATTCCGTGCAGAGATATCAATGTACACGTAGGAGAATGGGTAGACGATGAGCACTCGAAGGAATTTAAGTACACACTTTTCTGGAAATACCTGGTTCCATCGAAGAAGTCTTAACTGTCGGCTATGATAACCAAGCTCCAACTGCATTATCAAAACCAGTTGAAGTTCTGCGCGTCTGGTCTCAGTCGCGAGAACTCGTTTCTGCTTACCAGTTACCAAAACGCATTGGAATTGACAAGTGTTATTCAAGATGTTCCGTTTGGTGTCGCCGTTCTCGTGGTTGGACTCGCTGGCGGATGAAGAAGAGTTTATGGGAGGGTTCGATGAGCGCTATCCATCGACGCGTATTTTGATTCTTCCTAACAGACAGTCTCTTCAGCGTGAGAACAGCCCGAATACTGAAGAGGAAGAAGAAGAAATGGAAATGGAAATAGAGGAGTCACCTGTAGCTGAGGAAAAGGAGTCGATGATCAGTGACTTTTTTGACGACCTTCCTGTCGGTGCAAAACTTATGGACACCCGGATGCCCCCGAACCTCTCGCCGCCCGAATCGAAGACCAAGGACGACTACTCGTTCTTTACGTACTCGTACAGCACGTGTCTGACCGCCGACGACAATGGTCGCCGCGTAGACAGCACACGCCGCCGCTACGAGGACTCGGCGGGACGACTGAAAGCTCAGCACAAGCGTCGGATCGGTACACGCGCACTGGAGTCGACTTGGAAGCGTGCATCGGAAAAGGATGATGGCACTCACGAGCACAAGGTGTCGTCGGGCTCGGTTGAGGACTTCGAGAAGGCCTGGAAGAGCACACCATTCGGTGGTGCCGAAGAGCACGCCAAGGCTCAAGGTGTGACAAAGCAAAGCGTGCTGCCCGACCACCCCGAGGCTCAAGAGCTGCCGTAAATCGAATTCGTGTTGCGAGTAAAAAGAGATGCAGGTTAAGGTTGCATTGTCGTGATTGCAAGACAGGGGTAATGAAAAGATGTTGCGTTGAGTTCAATAAGTATCTTGTCTCTAACGAGTCCATCGTGAATGCTATTTAAATACTCACATTTCCATTGATTTGTCGTCGATATTTCAGTTCTGCGATTGTGCTACCAGAACAACCGAGGTGTTTCATACTGCAACGTCCGTAAGCCTTTAAATACTTCTCCATCTACCGTGACGGAAGCTTGAAACTTCGTGCTTCTTCAGTTCCAATTCGACGACAAAAAGACTAACTGCAACGCAAGACAAGAAGCAGGATAGTTACTGGAATATGCAGAGAGTCGAGTCCAACCGTCCCATGTTTGCCATGGTATGCGCCAACAACGTGAATCGGAGCGCCGCTGCCCATGAGATTCTCAACGCTGCGGGACTGCGCGTGTGCTCATACGGCGCCGGCCGTCAGGTGACATTTCCCTGTCGAACTAGTTCCGAGTCGCGTACGTTCAGGTTCCTCACCCCATACTTGGCCATGCACAGCGTTCTCAAGAAGGAGGACGCTGCGCTTTTCACGGACAATGGCGTGCTTGAGATCCTGGAGCGGGATATGTCAATTAAAAAGGCGCCGGAGCGCTGGCAGAACCTCAGTGAAAAGCAGCTCGTCGGTATCGACGTGGTGGTGTGTCTAGACTACTCCATGTTCCTCACTGTGCTTGAAGGTACCTAAAATTCCTCCCTGCTTTTGCCTAGTTTGACTAACTGTAACGTTTTTCACTTGCATTAGACATCCAGATGCGAATCCGACTGCATTTCAACCCCAAGCAGCTTCACATCATTTGCCTCGATACGGAAGATACGTCAGGGGAGGCCTTAGCAGGCGGCAAACGTGTGCTCGACCTGTGTCGCAAGCTCAACGTTCCAGTGGACGAGCTCACGGAGGAGTTTGTCAAGTCGATAGTGGAAAAGTTTGAAAAGGAACACGGTCAGCAAATTTTTTATGTAGGAATGCACATGTAGTACGACAACATGTGCATCCCTTTATTAGGGTGGACTTGCATGAACTCTATGACATTTATATTGAAATTGTAACACTCTTATGCAAGAGAAGGCTAAAAGTGTACATAGAGCATTGATACCGTTGGGTTTAAAGCACTTGTAATTTGTATATCGTAGCTGTCCGTAATTGTGGTCAATTGTCGAGGAATCTTGTCGTACTTATTCGATTTCGTCAAGTCGCAGCTCGAGGTCCAACTCCGATTATGTCCATTGTCGATTTTGCAATCACGTAAATTGGACACTATTTGGTCAAGACTGAAGTAAATTGGACACTATTTGGTCAAGACCGAAGTAAATTGGTCACTATTTGATTGAGGCAGACGTCATTTAGCCGGAGCATTCAACTTCAAACGAGCGGACAAAACCAGGCAGCTGATTCTAGTTTCCAGATGGTGATGAAGTATAACTATTGAGGGGTGGTGGACAGTCTGGTGTTTGAAATAACCACTCAGCGTTTACGTAGTCGCTAAGTAACGAGTAGGGAGGTTACATGGAGATGTAAGAAGAGGAAGTGCATGACATTGATATTATATACTGCTGACGTCTTTATACAAAATAAAAATCTGAATAAAAATACACCTTGTAGAGCGATCTGATAGCGATAAGACGATGCTGTGGTGTTGACTGATGGGTCATTCATTGTCCTTGTTGAAAAAAAGGCCTTTGACAGAGACGGTAACGCCACTACCACTACCAACCGACTCGATCCATTGACATAAAGTAGAAAGAAAGTAGCATCGTGATGTTTAGCAAACGTTTTGAACTTGCACCTGCATACGAACGCACTACCTTTGCTGCTTGCTACTGCACCCGATTGTAACAACGAGATGTCGAGGCTCTGGTCTAAAATTGATCCAGACGAAAAAAACAACTTGATTAAAGTAAGGTATTGGCAGTTGAATCGGGTACACAAGCGGTGTTCCCCTACCCATAACGACTGCAAGTGCACAGAGCCGTCCGTATCCCTCACATCGCATTAGGAGGACTTGGTCATACGTGTGACCTTTGTTTATTATTAATCACCTTTGAAGTCATGGCGCCTGAGCCAAGTGTTCGTTCTCGTCGACATCGCAGTCAGACACGTGGTCAGTCACGACCGCGTCATCCTGAGCCGAATTCGCCTTTTTGTGAGCCTTCACATCGACGACCTCAGCATGACCCCATGCGACATCATTCCTCACCTACGCGTGGACGTGCAGACCCCACAGACGTGAGTTTACGGGAACGGCAGAAACAACGCAAACAAGCGCGTTCCAAATCAAGGCCTGCTCCAGGTACTCGTGATAGTCGCGATAGACCCAGTATCAAACGTGCACGCGTTCGTTTTAGTATGATTGAATTGGGCAGCGCAGCAGAGACGCTGACGACCAAAGGAACATGCAGTGGCTTTCTTCGTAAACAGGCAGACAATGAACCGGGAGCTTGGAATCAATACTATTTTGTGGTCAAACCGCTCACTTATCTTTTCTACTACAACTCGAAAGACGACGAGACCCCACGAGGGATCATTGATCTCGAGTATTTGACAGACATCAAACGCAATGCAGACTGTCTACAGCGTGCAGTAGGGGGAGGAGATAACTGCTTTCGAGTGTCGGGCAAACTGCCACCATTAACTGCAGAGCAGATTGCATCAGGTGATGCCCCGAAGATGCGTCCTCTGTATCTGGACACGGAAGATGACGATAAGGCGAAAGAGTGGATGAATGCGATTCGCAATCACCGTTTTAGTTTGAAAAAAGATGAACATTTTTTTAAGATGATGCACCAGCTCCGTGATGCTAATCTTCGAATTTCGCAGCTTGAGGAGACGCAGCAAAGAGAGGCCGAAAGGAAGCGGTTCTTACGCATTAAAGCCAAGACACTGCTGCAAAAGATGCGTGCGATTGACAGTGGTAACATGGATGAAATGCCTGAAGCAGAAATTGATTTGGACGACATTGCGGATGATATGCTGGCTATGCTAGAGGGGATGGAGGACGTACTAGTGAATCTCCAAATGAAGTTGGATCAGCTCACTCAGATGAAATCTGATAAAGCAGCGACGACGAGCTCACGCCGAGGCTTCACACAGGTGCTTCAGCGCGCCGTTTCCAGGCGCGATAATACTAGTATTTTGGAGATACCGGAACACGAGGAAGAGGAAACTCTTGCTGCAATTAGAAGCAGGAGACAACGCAACCTTGTCGATCAATTAGCAGTAATCAAGGAAAAGCCGAGCGAGAAGCTAAGGGAGAAACCTCAGGTGAAAGTTCAAGAGAAACCTTTGGCAAAAGCTCAGGAGAAACCTCTGGTGAAAGCTCAGGAGAAACCTCAGGCGAAAGTTCAGGAGAAACCTCAGGCGAAAGTTCAGGAGAAACCTCAGGTGAAGGTTCAGGAGAAACCTCAGGTGAAGGTTCAGGAGAAACCTCAAGTGAAACCTCAGGAGCAGCCCAGGGAGAAGATTAAAGAGATAGCTCAGGAGCTGCCAAGGGACAAGATTAAAGAGAAACCTTTAGAGGAGCTCCCAGCATCTGTGGACAATGTGTCGGATGTGCTTGCAATGTGGAAAGCAAAAAAGAAAAAGAGCTCGTCTTCGACGAAGCAGCCTGCAGCCGAGGACGGCGATAGTTCTAGGAAGAACAGTAAATACCAGTCTGTGCGAGGTGCGATGGTGGCACCGGAGACTGGCTCGGCTCGCAAGCATACGGCAATACAAAAGAGCCGTGACGGTGAGAGTTTGTCGGAAGAAGACACGGCGTCACTATATTCGACGGAAGACGGCGAGTCTGGGGAGAAGTTGCCCCCCGGCTGGACAAAGCACGAGAGCCGTGGATACCCTGGTACCTACTACTACGCGAACGAAGATGGTAAAGTTAGCTGGGACGTACCAACCGACGACATGGCTAGCAACGACCGCGGAAAAAAAGACCACAGTGACGATCGCCATAGCGATGATCACCACAACAGCGATCGTTGCGATCATAGCGATCATAGCGATCTCGATGACGACGCGAACGAAGATTATGGACATCACATTGGCCACAATGATCCAGAGGAAGACGAGGCCGACATTTGTCCTGACACTAGCGTCGACACGAGCAGTGAATATCTAAGCGAGACCGAAGCGGATGAAGAGACTGCTGGTGGCACCACGTCGGCTGCATACCGGAAACAAAAGCCGAAACCCAAGTCAGCATGGGCCTTTAAACTGCCAAAGCTGTTACCGACAACGACAACTAATATGCAAACGGCTGCACCTGAGGTACCTGCGTCTGTGTCTCCCATCCGTCACGGTGCTAACCATCATGAATTTTAATCTTCTAGTCTCGGTCATGCCGTGCCAAGACCTTAAAACTAACAAAGTAAAATGAAAATATGAGGATTGCTTTTGCTTACCCATTTATCCCCTTTCTTCTTCTTTTGAATTGCTATAGATTGTCATTGCTTCAAACAATTTGATCTCTCCTCTTTGCAGGTGACGACAAAAAGAAGAATTCTACCCCCCCCCTCAAACGATGCCGGTTTAAAGCAGTTTAACAGCTTGTTACAAACAAAAGGTAGCAGCTTTCCCACTTAATGTCTCCATCCATCTCTTCCTCATCTGCTTCGTATGTTGCTCTGTCCACAGATCAATTCCAATGTCGTCGGGTTGTCCGTATTAAGTCTTTGCTGCTATTCTACAGCTTGCGACGCTCCTCGGCCGGAAACTTAATGTGGTTCGAGCTTGAAAACAAGGCGATTGGAACTGCAGCCGTCACGAGCACTACGAGTCCAACACCCGTTTTACGCTGCCAATGCTTGGTCTTGGCCCACCAGCCTCCAGCCGGGGACCACGTGTACTTTGGGTATGGATACTCACCACCGCCACTCATGTCTGTACGAGCTGTGACTTCTACCGATAAAGGTGAGAAAAACCTCGGTCGTCTTATCCATGAGCTATTAAACCTTATACTTAGAAAACCGGTACTGGGTGGTAGATCTAAGCCCCCAGCGCGAGCCTATCATCATACTGTAGTAGCTTTTGTTACGTCACTAGGGTATTCACCCGTCGTTCTGACGGACCGTATCCCGCGTGATCATTGTTTAGTATTATAGCCTCAATCACGCGAGCTGAGAAACGCTGGACAATTATTTAAATTCCATTGCAGAGTCCGTTTGTCGTGTCCTAGTCTCTGAGCAGCATGATTGGAGTCAACATTTTGTTCGACCAAAGTCGATAAGGTGACAACCTGCTCACTTCCAGCCTGTTTAGATATTCAGTGGCACCATGTTTGCACCTTCTTCTTCGTCCACCTTATCGGCGGTCAAGTGTTCAAATACCTCCCCCCGAACCGTGTCCATCACCGCCGTGTTGATGTCAGAAACAGCGTCATTGCGGGCGACAAGGATGGCTCGGCTGCTAATTATTAATACCTTTCGTTTTGTGCAACAACCGCGATACATCCATAAATATTATTGATAAGTGTTATTGGGGACACCATAGACGCTGGACACCGGCCGTAGTCGTCGTCAATCTTCTCCAGCCTGTCTTCTCCAAGTACCAAAACCAATTTGCGGAGACGCGACTCCAAAGATCTGCCAGTCGCTCAGCATTGGTGGCGCACTTTCATGCTATCTTGAAAAAAATAAAGTAATTACTTTTTGATTATGCTGCAACCTGCATACTGCACGCGACTCCAGAGATATGACTTTTTGATTGAGGCGGCAACAATATCAGAACGCAGGCCCTTTGAGACAACAGGAAGAACCTGGCGAAAGTCGCCGCATCTTACGAAAGTGATTCCACCAAATGGAACGTGAGGTTTATTAGTGATATCGTGAAGTGTCCGGCAAACGGCCTCGAATGCAAACTTATCCATCATTCGAGCTTTGTCCCAAAGAATGAGCTTCGTGCGGCGAAACATCTCTGCAAGACCGCTCTAATTGCTTATCGAGCACACTGAGTTAGGCGTCAAATTAGCTGGAATCGTAAAGATGAAGTAAAGGCTGCGGTCATGGCTTAATAGCAACGCTAATAGTTTAGATGAATTCATTGCCAGCGCAATGTGTCCTAAATCCCGAGGTGTAACTTTTAAGATATGTTTTGCCGGTTCCACCAGGAATGTCAATGAACAAATATACCACCTTGCAGGTCTACATGATCTGACGATGTTTGTCAAGCTACGTCGCGTTCAAAGTCTGCTTTCGTTGTCTGCCTCTTCTTTTATCTTTTCTACGTTGAGTTCCAGCTGCTCTGCAATGAAGCGCTTTCTTTGTAGCTATATCACTTGAATCGCAGGCGTGGGAGGCTAAAGTTAGCAAGGGTTTTGTCAAAAGTCGCCAATAGGTTTGCTATCAAATGCAGGACCAGTCTCGTGATCTGGTCAGCTAAAGGTTCCGTATTTCCATCATGGCGAAGTTTATGCGCGCAGACATCCAGTAAATTATGCTAAAACTCATCCATAGGTGCAACGGGATAAGAGCTTGTTAATGTCTTACACTAAAAAGGCGTTGAGGAAGCGCTCTTCATTCACTCGTAAATATACCTCTGTTTATTTTGGTTTAGTTTTAATTCGTAGTAAGTGCGAATATGTTTATCTAGGTCATGGCATTACTCAAATAGAGATCAATTATATAATTGCTAGTTAGGGGTGCCAGACCCCAAAGATACACCAATAATATCATGACGTGCAGTATCCGCTAATCTGATGCTGCCATATTTGCCTACTTATGATGTATTATTCCTATAACTACTTATGTAATAGGTTGACCCTTTACATCACCCCCTCTTTAAGTTGCGCTTATCTCAACGTAAGCGCGAATCGCAGAAAGTTTCTTCTCGACCAACGGCGTAACTCCGAACCTGCTCAGTTAGACTTAACTGAGCAACATGGACCCTAGGCGTCCACGAAACAATGTCTCTGACAACCAGAACTGGGAACACCAAGCGACAATCCGAAGAGAGCAGGCGCCGCAGGTCATGGATGGGACTTGAAACCGTGGCGCTTGTATGGTCTTGACGGTGCTGTCGAACCCGAGCCACTGGAGGTCATGAAGGACCTTTTTACGCGATACCAGGCAAAGCGACGAGCAACGCATATACTGACAATGCGTTGCAGAGATCTTGGTGTGCCTTCATCAGGCGCTGGAACGCGAACCGACGTGAAGGAACGTCCTTCACGTCCTGGCTAGACGGTCGCGAGGGAACGCGTGATAGACACGCTATTGGCGACCTGCGCCGGCGCATCTGTCGTATGACTTGTGACGAGCATCACCTTTGTTACGTCCACATTCGTGAGGGATGTCCAACGTGCAACGTGGGCAGATCGCGACCGGTCCGGCAGGAATGGGACGACTTGGTGTGTGCGCGAGGCATGCCCGATCATATTCGTCCATGGATTGCCCGTTATGAGAGAAGCCTTTCGGAGCTCCAGGTGTCCGAGCTACGGCGAGTGAGAGCGCGTACTTACGATCGCCGACGGCATTCACGTAGCCGAGGTCGTCAACCGTATCATCCGTATGCTCCCGAGCCTCGTAATAGGTCTCGGTCTCGGAGTCGCTCGGGAGGTCGTCGTGGTTTCGTTTCTCGCGAGCATTACGGCTCGCGAGATCGGGGATGGAACCGGCAGCGTCGGTCGCGATCACCGTCTTTCTACGGGACTCATAGTCCTCGACCACGTCCGGGACATCTTGGGACAGCGTACTCGATGGTTCCCATGTATCGTCCGCCGGGAAATATTTCAATTAGCGAACCCTGTAATGTTTCTCGACACGCTTCTTCATGGCGCCGAGTTATTACTCGGCGCCTGGGTCTTGTGATCCTCGTGATCGACAATTCGGTCGACAATCCAGCGTCGCGCACCCAATGCATCAACTAAGGGAGGAGGAGCATCGCGACGGAAGACCTCTGGCGATGAGCGCCGATTCTCGCAATCGAGCTCCTGTACAGTCGAATGATAAGCTGCACCTACTTCGCGCTGAAGCCGAGGAATCGAAGAATGCCCTACTTGATGCTCGCGAGATGGCTGAGAGAGCTCAAGATCGTGCGGATGATGCGACTGAGGCTGCTGAGCGGACTCGACGTGATCAGCTGGTACTAGTTGAGCGCCTACGTCAACTTGAGACGACTGCGTTCGGAGGGCCCCAGCAGATCGAGTGTGCACGCGCTCGGGCAGGACTTGGTCCCAGTCGTCGTCAACGTCGTCGTCAAGGGAAGTCGGTTTTTGAGCCGGCACAGAAGAGCGGGGAAGATTCGAAGGGAGATCCGCCGGTAGGTAAGCCTTGAGGCGCCCGACGTAGAACGTCGGGTGCAAACGCATAGATGTAGGTATGTCTAGCGTGTAAGCGTCACCATGCGCCTTAAGAAACCGAAATGGGCCAATATATCTTGGCGCTAACTTATTAGCACCCAAATTCGTCACTGAGGTGTTCGGTTATCCACTTGCTGATAATAATACTCTGTCACCTCCTCCAAATGTCAACATATTTTTTCGACCTCTTTTGTCTGCATTCTCCTTTTGCTTGTCGACTGCCTCTTGCAGTGCATCACGCAAAAAACGTGTGATTTATTGTCGTAAAGCAGAAATCTGGATGCTTCAGCCGAACTGACAGGCGACGGATCCTCTTTAGGAAAATAATTAGCAACGGGAATACGCGATGGGATGCATCGCATCAGGAGGCGATATGCCGCTAGTTATAAAATCAGCAGCATGGTGCGCATCGACAGAAACCTTATCTTTATCGTAATAAAAATAGTATCGGCGCACTGTCATCGGTAGATAATCCCCCATCAAGCTTGAAGACAGGGTGCTCTGAAGCTGAGAGAGCATGTAGAGCCGGAACGTGAGGATGCCTCGCGTTGTTAACGAAAAAAGGCGTCAACCCGGTTGACGCATGGACAGCATTGTTGATTGCAAACTCTGTGCAAGTGGAAGGAACGAACTCCATGACGAGAACGATGTTGCATAACTGCGCAAGATACTCTGTTCACACGCTCCGTTTGCCCATCCGTCTCTGGATGGGCCGCCGTAGACATATTCAACCGCGTGCCTAATAGCTGGAATAATTCGGCCCAGAAAGCCGAAGTGAAACGCGGGTCACGGTCCGAAACAATAGATTCTAGCAAGCCGTGATGCCTAAAGATAAGATCAATGAAGATCTTCGCTGTCGTCTCCGCCGTAATGTTGGCTGAGACCGGATCAAAATGCACCATTTTGCTGAATCGATACACTAGAACCAATACGCCCCTGCGTTTCTGTTCATCCGGTTGAAGTCCAAAGGTGAAACCCATACTGGCTGAACGTCAGGCTTTCGTGGCAATCGGAAGTGAACACAATG